AAAAAAAAAAAAAAAAAAAAAAAAAAAAAAAAAAAAAAAAAAAAAAAAAAAGACAGCAAATACAGTATGAGATAGCATGTTTTTTTTTCCTTCCGTGTGGACAAAGATGCCGGTATGGCTGTGGATGAAGCAGGTGTAGTCATTGTGCTCATGTGTTTTGGAGATGCAGGGCCAGAGTCTGCACTGTTGACTTCAGTGGAGCTCAGATACAGAGCATATGAGACACAGGAGTCATCCTGCAGGAACATCTTAAAATAGATATATGCACAACTGGCCTTTTGTGAGGCTCCTCCTCGCACTATCAGAACAAGTTGTGACAAGGGCTACTCGTGCCAATGTTTTGTGCTTTCTACACAGCTTTACCGTATATGAATAATTAATAGCATTTTCCAGTTGTGCAGTGTATTTCTTGTGATGTTCTCAGGATATCTTGCAAGGAGTAAGCCAAGATTTGCAAAAAGGTTCTCCTGTTCTTTCCCATTATCATCTGAATTGTAGACAACAGGCAGAGAGGATTGGTAGGTCACTATTGACTTTAATACAGCTTTTTAAATCATACTCTCTTGTGATTAGTGGAAGAAGAAAAAAAATTCATCTCTGTTCATCTCTCAAGAAGCTAATTGCCTATTTAGATGTATTCAGTTCATCTCTCAAGAAGCTAGTTGCGTATTTCAGATGTATTCTTGCTAACAGAAACACACTGGATACAACTCTTCTGCAATCATTATGAATTTTCTATTGATTTCAGTGAGAACAGGATTTCCTAATCTGCTACGCTATGTCATTGTCCCTTTCCTTGGTCTGCTCACCCATGTACTGACCAATTTCTCCCGTTTGTGAGGCGCTAGCACATGTGGTATGAGCAAAAATATCTCATATTTAATATTACAATACTGGAAGGCATCAGAATAGCTAAAGGGATGTTAGGGTCAGAACTTGAAAGTAGTTAAATTTGTTTCCTAAAATCAAATCCATGTTCTGTTTGTGGTACTGTGCATACATTTAGCAAGCTCACAAATTAGATTGTTGTAGAGTAAATCATGTGTTGGAATCATTGCACAGAGCTCTTTCCTACTCCTACTGAGTAAAGTTGCTTCATTTTTGTTTTCCAGAAGGACAAAAATAATGTTTATTATAAAGGATTTCTCTCCTCCTCTTCTCTTCTCTTCTCTTCTCTTCTCTTCTCTTCTCTTCTCTTCTCTTCTCTTCTCTTCTCTTCTCTTCTCTTCTCTTCTCTTCTCTTCTCTTNTCTTCTCTTCTCTTCTCTTCTCTTCTCTTCTCTTCTCTTCTCTTCTCTTCTCTTCTCTTCTCTTCTCTTCTCTTCTCTTCTCTTCTCTTCCTTTTTCCTTTTTCCTTTTTCCTTTTTCCTTTTTCCTTTTTCCTTTTTCCTTTTTCCTTTTTCCTTTTTCCTTTTTCCAACTAATGTTAGGTGGCCCTTTAATTGTGGAAAAAAAGAACTTCTATTTCTGTGTTACATGGTGGGAGGGAATGTGGCTTCAGAATGTAGCCCAGCAGTTCTTCAGCTGTGTGGATGCTTCTCCTTTTTTTATGGTTATGTTTCGCATTGAGATATCCTTTAGAAGCAACATACCCTCATCTGACACTTGACATAAATCCTTTATCCTCATTGATAAATCATATATAGATTAATCTTGTTGATGGCTCAAGATTTATTTTCAATATACCTAGACTGGAGTAGTTTTAGAAGCTTTTTCCCCTGAAAATCACATTTCTTAGGACAAAATGATACAGTTCCTCTAAAGGTATATGTTTCGAGTGGAAAAAAAAGAAAGAGGAATTTGAAGATTTGTTTTTCCTCATGTGCCTTCATGACTAACTATATATGTTGGCCTTCACTGAACTACACATGCATATTAGGAAATCTGACACTTAGTTTCCCCAAACTGTGTATATTTTGTGAAATAATTTATATAATATTTGTATTTTTATTTGCGAAGAATAAAAAAATGGCTTTGCTCATTAAAAATAAGCAATATGGTAAATAATTTAAAATACCGGAGCATAAGATATTGTTTGGGGGACAGAAAGAAATGTTCCTGAAAAGTTTGGAGTAGGCTGTAATGTTCATGCACATAAACAGAAGTGTTTTTAATTGGGTGTTGTAATCACCA